ACTAACAAGAATATAACATAAAGAACAAGAGAATCTAAATACAACCTCTCCAACAATGGAGTAGGAAAAAGATGGTATTGGATTGCATTCCCTAGAAAGAAGACATAATAAATAGATAGAACAAGCAAACAATTATGTAAGGCACAAGAAAAATATTGAGTAGTCACATGGACAAGTTCTAAGCAGGCTATCAAGCAAAAATTAATCAAATAATTGGGAAAGAAAAAAAGAGCGAAGGAAAGGAAGAAAGCACAAGGTAGTAGAGCTTTTGAAAGAAGCCCAACAAAGCACAACCATTTGTAAATTTTGTAACACAGCAGAGCCTTTGCAAGAAACCATAAAAAGTAGAACATTTATAGATTTTTGAAATGTTTTAAATTAAAGATAAAAAATTAATTACCTTCAAGAAACCAAAAAAGTAGAAGAAAAGCAAAAAGTATTGATGTTTCATGTCCAGCTAGACAACAGGCGCTCAAAAAAAGAAAAAAGAAAAATGAGAGAGACAAGAATAAGAAAGGACATTAGGAAATATCAAGGCAATGAAGTCACATTTACAATAGAGAAGGAAAAAAAAAAAAAAAAATCCAGTGCTTGATCAATTGGGGTGGAAAAAATCACCTGATCCGTCTCTTCATATAAAAAATGTCTCCAAGGTCGCCTAGAATGAAACCAGAAAAAAGAACATTCAAAAGATAAGAGATGCAAAATAATTCTTTCAGCCCCTTTTTGGGACATTCTATCACTGATGTGTAAAAGGAGCGCCTTCAAAACAGAACATAAATTGTATATTTTCTGTTTAGTTGCGTTGATTGAACAGAAACAAAAGCACTACAACGCCTTCAATGTAAGTGAAAAAGGAAATTTTCATTTACATTCAGTATTGACTAAAATTGCAGGTGCTCTAACACTGTCCAACTAAGAAGCGAGGAAGTAAATCTAGGAAAGTAGACACTCTCCACAAGAGATAAGGCACATATCAAACCAAAAGATAAATAAAAAATCAATGATCCCACTTTTTTTTTTGTGTACTCATAAATACTTTCAAATCATGTAATGGCAGCAGAAGGAAAAACTTACAACAAACAAGACAATAGAAACACCTATCAAGGAGCATCCAACGCTTACTGTGAAAGACATATCTGCAGGAACAAAATATCAACATTTTATACGCCAACCAAATGATCAGTTTGGCTATGGAGGTTATGTATTGTTCACCTCTTTTATTTATTTATTTATTTTTACAAGTATTACTTTCATGATTCGACAAAAACTGCAAAGAACAAACCTTGAAATGCCAATTTCTTCTCCACATAGGAGTCCAGCCATCAACACATTTCATCAGAAATTAAGAATTGCAGCCAAATACAACATTATTGCATGAAATTACTACAATCAACATGAATGAAAATTGTACGGATAACCAAATAGGAAACAATAACAGTAATGAACTGCATAAAAGAAAACAAAATTGGACCATTTTTCACCATTCGGGCAGCATGAGCTACACGTGTCGTATATTACACCTCATGAAGTGCTTTAGATTTTACCATGATTTTGATCCACCCTTGAACTGCAAACAACAAATAAACTGTAGCCCAAAGCATACAATAGGATAGTGTTGATAAAGCATCACATCAATACCCAGACTGGGGTGTGTTTTAGCATAGAGAAGAAAATGTATATACATTAGTGTTGGAATGGGGCCATGGGGGTATCCAACCCAAAAGGTTAACCTATTAGGTGGAGTTACCCTTGCCCTATTAAGTCCAAGATTTCCTTCTTCACTAAGAGATGTGTGACTCGTTCAACTACCCAACAATCCCCCCCTTGAACGAGGCTCTCCCCTCTGTGGATAGAACGTCACCGCCCTTCCCGTCCTCCCGTCAGCTAGGGGATCTTGAGTCCACATGCGACTCTTTGGGACTTGGTTGTGATACCAGTTGTTGGGATGGGGGTATCCAATCCAAAAGGTTAAACTATTAGGTGGAGTGACCCTTGCCCCATATGAGTCCCAGATTTCCTTCTTCACTAACCGATGTGGGACTCATTCAACTACCCAACAATTAAGAATACAATATGTATCAGGCAGGGATTAATCAAAAATAAAAGCAAGGATGAAGTATTCACTTACGATAGACCACGGAAAAGAATGACGTGAAACGAACTGTGAGGATCAGCAACAGACTATTACAGCTTAAACCTATAAGATGTGCTCCTAAAATTTAAGATTCTGCCAAACTATACTAGCGAAAAATTCTCAATTGTCAGTCATGAGAAACTCAAATGCACCCCCTTCAATTCTTAACCATTCCAAACAATTTCTAGAAATTGTAAAAACAAAAGACAACCTGCAAGAAGATTCAATTCTTGCAACATTTCATCCATATCTTCCACATTATTGAAGTTCTAAAGCTCAACAACTCCGAAGATAAAAATCTCAACTGAAACAGAAAATAGAAATGAGAAAAATACATAAATATATATATAGATATACACATAAAAATGAGATAAGATATTTAATGATTATGAAAATAAAAACCACAAAACTACCAATATTAACACTCGAGCATAAAGGTAAATCTTAGGGCCAATCTGGAACAAGGAATGACGGACGTATTATCATATAAACAATGTAATGGGTGCTTTCTGCAACATGGAAGGACGTATCAAAAGACGAGAAAACAGAGACAAGAAATTAGCAAACAAACCCCTTGAAAAAGAAAATACCACAATACTATTTTGCATTCAAAATGTTAATAGATAAATACCACAAACTCAAATTTCTAATTAAAAAATAATAATGATCTGACCTCAAAGTTGACAGCAGGACCTACTCATGTGTCATAGCAGCACCTTAGACATTCACTGAGCTTTAAAAATATGCCAAGAGGTCCCTAAGAAACAAGAAGCCATGCAGACATCTAGATACAGAACATGTATAATAACTGCAGTCAAGTCCATGATGCTGCTGCACCACAATATGCTTCAACATGAGATGCTGCCTTTAAGCAAGGAGAAAGCATAGAACACTCTCTTCCGCACAGGCTGCTTAGGCACTTCCCACAGCAGTGTGTGCATACATACATACATATATATATATCCATATATCAAAATAACCTAAAGCATAATATATGAAGATCCAACAGTATTCCAACAAAAAGATAAATGAATATATGAAGATCCAACAGTATTCCAACAAAAAGATAAATGAATCATAATTATGTAGTGTTCTTGCACAGTTTAAACCCCATCAATTTCAAGAATGGTCCGCTTATTGCCTCTATCTTATAAACCATGTGGAAATATGAGAATAAAAAAAATTGATTGCCTACACCACACAAATGAACTAGTCTTTTAATATGTCAATTTCCTTGAAATGAATGAAATGACAAGATTAAAGAGTCAATAAAAACTTTTATATGAAAAGAATAAATGCAAACATCAATATCCTCAAAAAACTTTTATATGGAAAGAATGAATGTAAACAACAATATTCTTCTTTCGACTGCAATAATGAAGAGATAGAATATCACTAAAAATAGTACCAATTACCTGACAAACGCAAATGTTCAATCTAATGCGAACACCAAAAGAAACAAGGGAAGAGCAGGAGACTCCGCATCCCTTAAAAAGGTAACAAGAAAAAACAAATTTCAGGTAAAATATCACGCGCATACAAATGCAAAATGAAACCAAAAAAAAAAAAAACCAGAATGAAAATATTTAATAATGATCTAACCTCAAACTTATATTAGGTTTGATTGTGCATGGGAAGGTGTTAGACACCCCATGACACCCATGAAACATGGTTACCTTAGTTTTTATGTTGCATTCCAAAAAATGTATGCGTCTAGAATCTAGCACCAAAGGTGCTTCCTTGAATATTGCCTTGAAAGCTTGACTTTATCCATAAGAGATAGGATCTATGCTTTGGTAGGTATATGTGATTAACAGGAGAATGGTTTTGAAAAATATGTGTTAAAACACGGGCTTGAAAAGAAATAATTTTTTGAAAATAGTGTGACCGAACCTAGGAATTACCTAACTAGGCTGCCTACATACCTTACCATGTGAATGATATGATAAGCATCAAGTCAATTGTAGTTCAATATGATGAGTTTGAGAACTTTTGAGGTTTAAAATGTGAGCATAAGAACTGGTGGAAATTGTTTTGAAAAGAGAACGTATGAGTTCTTGGTGATTTTGACTTAAAAAGAGTTTCTTTGAAGAAAGAATGATTTAAAAAGTGAGAACATAAGAGTTATTGACTTGCGAGTATCATAGAATTGTTCTGAAAAGAGAACTTAGGAGTTCTTGAGAACTTATCTTGAAATAAATGTTTTGTTTGAAAAAAGTAATTTTGTTCCTATAAGTTGAATGTTGTGAATGAAGACTTCATGGTTTGACAATTTGGGCTGACTATTGGAAAGCTTTGTTCCTGAAAATTAAGCCTCAGAAGTGTGCATACCAATGTAGTGGTTTAGCCAAATTTCTTCAGCAAAAAGAACATCAATATATTTATCATTGTCGTCAAATTGATCAATTGGGAAGATGTTTGTTTATGGCCATATAATTCTAATATATGTTATAAAAATAAAATGTCTTCACAGCCATTAATCAGCATTAAAAGAATTTCATGTTACCATAGGGTTTTATTGTTCAGCACAAGCACTGCATTAGATATATATCATTTTCCTTCTCAGATTAGAAAAGAATATGAAGAAGATAAGTGTAGCCAAAGGGTAACTCAAGAAGACACCTTAGGTTAACCAAGAATAATTTTCAAGTATTCAATCTGTGGAATCAAAATAGGGTAGACATATTGCAGGCTACATACAGTAAGATATTGTGTATGTATTTTGACTAGTTTACCCACGAAAGTTAATGTTTCATGAATACTATTCTAAGAGAACATAACTAAAGAAGTCCTACATAAGGATGCGCGTTCGGTCTGGTTCTTGGATGAATCAGGACCAAACCAGTCCTAATAGGTCCAGAAATTCACAATAGGCTGCCGGAAGTTTCTCACTTTCCAAAGTAGAAGTCGAGGGTTTAAGTCCCAAAAACTGGGTATTAGTTCCCAAAGCACACAACAATTACCAACAAAAGAAAAAAATTAAGCATAACAACAAAGCCAAGAAAATGAGATCATCCTTATATATATTAATACCTTCAATTTCGGTTACAGTATATTTGCCAAAGTAGTTTAAATTACTGTTAATTAGAGAAAATCTGTAAAATTCCATTCCGAGTGATGAAAACTTGCTTACTTCATCTCGGGGGTGTCAGAGGGACTCTTTCTCCATGAAGGGTGAAAGGAGACTATCTACACAGATGGTTGCATGAAAATCATACACATCTTCTTCATTTTCGTCGTCATGTATGCCAAGAGGACCCTTTACTGTTCTGTTGTATAAAAGTAACTTAGTGTAGTCTATCACTTCGTTCCTCAACAAAGCCAACATATCTGAAAATATTGGGACCTTTGTATCAATTCTAGTCCAAGACTGCTCAACCCCATATTCCTTCATAACCCACAATTCACCATCACAACAGGGTAGTATACAAAGGCATCCTTCAAACACCCCTAATTGACTTGCGTTATGAAAACTGGTGTTGACAGAAGTACTTGGCAAGGGTATCATCCGCACTTTCTCATCCACCAAACTAAAAGCAGCAATCTCAAATTTCCGCTGCCACATGTGTATAATATCTTTAGGGTTTTTAATACGAAGCCAATTAATGGCCCCATTCAGTTGTGTCCCATCATTTTCGAGAACACGAAAATCGAACTTATTAGAGAAGTCTTCAACTTTTCTCCAACAACCACTTCTCATTGAATATACAAAGATTTGATTGTCATCTATTTTCACCACTTTGTAGTCATCATGGCAATGGTCATAGCCAAATCCAGAGACTCCAACTATGTTACCAGGGAAATAATCAAAATCTGGTATTTGCAACAACTCCCTCGTCGAAAGATTGACTACATATGCATTTAGCTTCAGATCAATACAGTTCAAAAGAAATTCTACCTGAAAGCATGTCAACCCATTGCAAGAACCAATTATGTGACATCCTCTGATTTGACATCTAGGGTTGCTCTTAAATAAATAATCAATCTTTTCTACTACGATGTTGTTGTCGTCACGCCTGGCCGTGTAAAGACCGTATGGGCGGAAGGGATTGGATATGAATACAATATTGCGGTGTGTTTGGATGCTGGACGACTGATTGAGATGGATTTTGATAAAGTAGGGATCGGAGATCAAAGAGCGCCATGACTTCGACACGCACTTGAATCGCAATAGAGATTTGACGGGCAGTTTTGAGAGTATTTCGAACACAAGGGGTTGGGGAAGGTGAGGCAAAGGCATTGATACACAGGAGTCTGTCTTCTTCTTCTTCATCATCGCCGTGGCAAGCGAACGATACGCCTTGAGCGTTTTTATAAACCACCACCACCAGAATACACAAAGTTGAACAAAATTGCCTATTTATAATGGTGAAAACCTAAGGAAACTTAACAATGCTCAAAAGGAAACCTATCGAAACAAGGAACTAGGCTTTTATTTTATTTTATTATTATTATTTTTATATATATACGTGGTATGTAAATTACTCTCCCTGTCCCAGAAGGAATCCAAGTTTTAAGGGTTAATTACAACGATATTAGGTCTTTTTTTGAACAATGAAACTCTTTAAAATTTGATAAAGTTGACAAAACAGCCTGACATCATCTTGGACACATGAAAAATTGACCAATTTGACTTGTTTGTCATTTGACTTGTTTGTGGACCTTTATTACTTTACAATTAAATTAATTAGACCAAAATACTTTGGGAAAAAAATTGCATAACCACCAAATATCGCCAGTTTGGTGCCAAAAATTCTAGCCATATTGACAGGCATAACTACCATATTACAGGGTTAATTATAACGGAACTTGCTATATATAACCAACATTTAACATTAATGGAACTTGCAATGAAACTTGCAATATATACATGTCAAAATACAACTAGTGAAATAGAGGAGAAATAATAAAATGGCAAGTGGAAGCTTTCTGTCATTTTAAGTACAAAGCTTTGCACCAAAAAAAAAAATAATAATAAAAAATAAATAAAATAAAATTACAGTGGAACTGAAGTTTTGCACCAAAAAAAAAATTGAAGCTTTACACCAAAAAAAAAAAAATTGAAACTTGGCGATTACAATGGAATTAAAGCTTTGCAACAAAATAAATAAATAAATAAATGTAGCCAACAGAAGCTTTGCACCTAAAAAAAAAAAAATTTGCAAGTACTTTAGTAGTCTTGAATAAAAATAGCATTATAGTCATTACAAACTTGTACAAGTCATTGCATAGTCATCATTTGCTGACGCCAAAAATTAACCAACTATTATGTGCAGTTAGCAACTATGTTGTGCAATTAGCAACAAATGCATGTGCAATAAACTAATTGTACAAATAAAAACCAACTTTCCAATGTCTCACCCAATGAACAAAAAAACAACCAAACTGGTGTTTTACGAGTCATATGTGGCATTTACAAAAACATAAATGTTACTTAACTCCCAAAAAATAACAACGATTTCATAATAAAACCCTCAAACACAAATTAACAACAAATTGAACATAAAACTCTCAATTAGAAACCCTAAATGCAACTATTTTTTTTTAAATAACAATAAATTGATAATAATAAAATAAAAATAAAAAACCTTATAAAAAAACCATATATGCAACTAATTTCATGAAATAACAACAAATTTATAAATAAAATAAAAAAAGCCTAATCAGAAAACCCTCAATCACAACACAAACCCCTAAGAATCCGAACGGTTGATTACACTAACCAACCAACTTTAGCGTTTATGAAATAACAAATTTATAAAATATATATATATATATATATATATATATATATATATATATATATATATAAACCCATCAGAAAACCCCCATCACAAACCTTCATCAGAAAACTCTCAATATCTAAAGTTATAGAACAAAGAAGCACTAAGTCATCATATATGCAGGAAAAGAAAGATTAGACTACTTACAGAGAACGTGAAGAACAGAAAAATGAACAACACAACACAAACCACCAAGAATCCGAACGGTTAATCACACCAAGCAACTAACTTTAGCGTTCCAGAAATTTGATAAAGAGAGGAAGAGGAAAATATGCACAATTTATACTAGTGCTTCGAATGATGGTTCATGTTTACAAAAATAAAGGTTCAATTTTTGCAGTAGATAAAAAGTTAGAGAGATTGAGATAGAGAAATGAAAGGAAGAAAGCTTTGTTTTTCTTTCAGACTAATAGAGAAATGGAAAAGTTAGTGAGAGAGACAAAGGTGAAATAAAGGGGGTAAGTGGGGCAGGCTGCTATTAGCTGAGGGGCAAATTAGACATTTTGTCATGCCTGATATTTTAGGATAAAAGTGATTTAAATATTTAGGGCCAATATCGTCTTTTTGAAATCAATAAGGCCTTGTTTGGATAACTAAACTGACAGGGGGTCTCATTGTCCAAAAAAAGGCTTAACTTATATATGCATGTCAATACTCCAAACTTCAGGAGGTGTCGTTGTAATTAACCCAAGTTTTAAATATGTAAAAACAAAATAGTGCTTGTAATTAGTGTAATAAGATAGTTTGGGAATGTTATAAAAAACAGTACATCCAAATCTATAATGGGACATATTTTTTGGGAAATCCCAAAATAAAAAAGATGACAAGTATTTTGGGACAAAGAGAGTACTATAAAGTAAAAACTACTTCGTACGTTACTTTACTTTAAAGATGTAAGATACAAGCATGTTCGTCATATTAGGCGATACGTGTATGTAACTCTTCTTCAAGGGTTCAATATGTTACAGGTTGGTTCCGCCGGTTTACACATTTGCCCGAATCTATTACACCGCCACGATCATGAACCATGGATAAGGCAAAAGTGGAGCTAAAAGGGGCCATGTGTAATACCCCTAATTTTCAAAATGATAGTCTCGGTATTTTGTTTAACTGTTTTCTGTTCATTAATTGTTTTATTTATGTTTTAATTGACTTTTTAATTAGTCCTGGTATTTAATTTATTATTTAAGTGCATTTTATTTGATTATGTGTCATTATTTTTTTATTAGGTGCTTAATTGTTTTCTTTTGTGGTGATTTAATTTATTTAAATGATATTTATTTTTAGTTATTTAAATGGAATTACTTGTTAGTGTTTTAATTATTTAATTGGCCTTAATGGTTTAAGTATAATTGGGTTAATTAAATAGTTTTAATTTTATTGTATATTTGTGTTATTTTTAATTACTTAAATTAATTGGTTGGGCCGACTATAATTGTAGCTAGACCTATAGTTATGCATGGATTATGGTTTAATGTCAAAGCCTATAAATATGCATAATACGGTGGGTTAGGGTTTAAAACAAAATAAAACAAAACGTAAGTTATTCTGTGGAGGCAAAGTGAGAGCAAGCAGAGAGTTCGCCGGAGGATTTTAAGAAGACGTCGGTGTAAGGCAAGTTTTAATCCTATCTCTATTTCTTAGGCTTGTGTTCTTTACATTCCTAATGCAACTCCAGGATTTAATCAAGTTTAAAATTAAAATTTAATATATGTTTGGATGCTTAAAAAAAAAAACTGAACGTGTTTGTATGTTTTGAATTATTTGTTGTATACTGTTTCTTCCACATGTCTTGATGTAGTTCTTGTCTGTCGATGTATAAGGGGTTAGATTAGTCTGAAACACCTTGTAATAACATTAAAATTAATTTGTTTGTAAGCTTGGATTGTCTGAAGCAGTAAGTAAATTTGAACGCTAAAGTAATCGGTTGCAGTTCTTGGTATACAATACTTGATTAGTTTGATGTGGGTAGTTGTATAACGAATTAGGTTGCCTCTTAACATGCTGGAACTTGGTTTAAATACCTAGACACCCTAGGAGTGGAGGATAGGCCATCGGAGAACTGCCAGAGTTGGAGAAGAAGGCAAAACAGCAGGTTTTCTTTTAGGTACGGGTTAATCGTTTTTAAACTAGTTTGCTTAATTCTTGTTCCCACTGAATGTGATTATTAATCAAGGAAGTTAATTAACTTTTGAACACCCAAGGACTTAATTTTAATCAGCCAGAAATTCGGGTTGGAGGATCAACACAGCCGGACACCGCCGGAATTGGAAAAACGACGCACAGGGGAAGGAGCCTGCTCTATTTCAAGTAGAGCAGGCTCAATTAAAAAGTAGAGCAGGCTCTACTTTGTAGTAGAGCCGGCTCTACTTGGTAGTGGAGGCGGCTCCACTTTGGGTGGAGCCGGCTCCTTTGTGGGTTTCCAGTTTTTCCATTTTTTCTGAGTTTTGGGCAACCGTTTGGGCTACGAGACTTGGATTTTGGTAATTTCAGATTCTGTTGGAGGCTGTAATGGAGTGTTTAGTGATGTTCTAAAAGCTTATAAAAACTTCAGGGAACAAACTAAAACAAATTAAACAAGTTGAGGTTCATTCTTGAATAATGGGTAAAGTTTAACTAAACTAGATTACAGTTTTCGGATGTAAAAGATGTTAAATTGTTAAGTCTTTATATGGCAATTCTTGAGAATTGAATACAGATATTATGGTTCAGGAATTCTATATAAGCATGCAAGGTTACAAATATTTAATTTTGCTTGCTGTGGATAGATTGACAGTTGCATACATTAGATGTGTTGTCAATTATGAGAGGTTGTTAGAGTAGACTTAAATCAGTATGTTTCTATATATATACTCTGCTCTAGCATGTTTTGTGGGGATAATTGATGTTTGCATGTATGTGATAAATTATCAATTATTGGATCTTGGAAAGTAGTAATTATAAGCCTGTTAAGCTATAGAATTTTAACATACTTATTATGGAATCATTGATGCTTATACTTGATGTATTATTATCAATTGTGGACTTTCTGGAATAGTTATATTTTACATATATATATATATTATCAATTCTGGATGGATGTTTTTGTATGCACTGGTATGGGACGGTGACATACCAGGGGGATTAGCTTAAAAATGCTAAGTCCTACCTACTCTGGAATAAGAGATGGATTAACTACAAAAGTTAAGTCCTACCTATCTTCTGTGTCAGATCAATAAATAATTGGGTGACACTTTGGTTTAGAATGGAAATTAAGTATATTTTTATGATGCCACGATATGAGCCTGAGTCTCAGAGTCGTTGGTTAGGGAGCGTATATGCATTGGGATGCATAGCTGGTTATGATGGTTGGAGGTGTACCCTGTTAGGCTTAGGTACACATGACCACTTTGTGTGCGTTTTGCATGTTGCCTCTATTCAGGTTGAGACCGGCCTGTAGTCCAGTGAGAGTCCTTTAGTGTGATTATATATATATACATACGGACTATTAGCTATTGTTGAGTTGGTTAGAATGTACATGCGTATCGAGTCTCTGCTTGGATTGTAGTAGGATAGAACTTGCGCGTGGGCCTGACCCACTTCTATTTTTCAGGTACACGACAGTTGCAGGCTTAGACGTGTTCTTGCTGAGCAGAGGTCTCTATTC